TGCCCAGCAGGAGAGGAAAGTCGTGACAAAGGGTACTAGCAAGGCTGGCCCAAAAAGAGAGACAGGAAGGAAGGCCTCGCATGGTGTCTTCGTGACACAATCCAGTGGGTTTCTCCTCGAGAACACTTTCTCCACCGCCCTGGTGAATCTCAGCCAACTAGAAGCCCCTTTCATGGGCCTGGCAGGTTGATTACTGAGAAAGCGAGTCTACTCAGGTACAGAGAAAACATGACAAACTCCAATCCCCTAATATCCAAACAAGGACACCTGGTTAGTCAGGACTCTTATGATCATAAGAGAGAGAAAACCAATCACAAACTGGCTCAAGTAACAAAAGCAACTTATTGGCTCACATATTTGAGAGGTCCAGAGGAAAAACAGCTTCAGGAAAGACTGGATCCAGGAGCTCAAATGATACTATCAGGAACTGCTGATTTCTCTCTCCCTCCATTTCTCCACTGTGTGGTCACCACATGGGGTTGGGGTCTTTTCACAGAGTAGCAAAGACAGCTGCCAACAACTCCTGCCTTACATCGTCCTCTCAACAATGCTGTAACTGGCTCTTATCAGATCAGCTTGGCCACATGCCCTTCTGTGACACAGTCATGGTGGCCAACGGATGGAGCCAGCTGACCGTCCAGGCGTGGACTGTCTGCCCTCCTCTGGAGCCCAGTAGGGGCAGGACAGGGTCAGCCCCATCAACCACATGGCCAGAAGGGGAGGAGAAAGTGTCCACCAAGGAAAACGGGATAGTGTGATGGTTAATTTCGTGCGTCAGCTTGACTGGGCCACAGGATGCCCAGATAGCTTGTTAAACATTATTTCTTGGATTGGGGGAGTAAAGCGGACGGTCCTCACCAACGTGGGTGGGCATCATCACTCCACTCAGGGCCCGAATGGAACAAAAAGACAGCAGAAGTGAGTCCTCGTTGTCCTGACTGCTGGAGCAGGGACAGCAACCTTCTCCTGCTGTGGACTCCTGGTTCTCAGGCCTGCAGACTCCCTGATAACTACAACACAGGCTCTCTGGCTCTCAGGTCTCCAAACTACACACGTGCCTTCCTGGGTCTCCAGCTTGCAGGTGGCAGCATGTGGGACTTCTCAACACCCATCTTCACGTGAGCCACTATCTTACGATAAATCTCTTTCTAGAGACATACATAGAGCCTATTCCTCTGTTTCTCGGGAAAACCGTGACTAGTGCAGGTCGCACCTGCCCCAGGAGAAAGCAGAAGCCTGAAGGGTGCAGCAGGCAGGCTTCAAGATGGCCTCCAGGGGCCCTGCCTCCTGCAGTCCACACCGTTATGTGTTCCCCTCCGCCACTGGACCAGGGTTGATCTGTGTGACTGCAGAGTACAGCAGAAGTGACCGTGTGTCACCTCTAAGATGAGGCCATAAAAATGCAGTGGCTTCCATCGTGGGTGTGCTGTCTCTTGCTCTTGGGCTACTGGCACTGGGAAGCCAGTTACCGTGTGTGAGCAGCCCCATGCAGAGGCCCACATGGCAAGGATCTGAAGCCTCCTGCCAAAGGCCGCATGAGCAAGCTTGGAAGTGGACCCTCCGTCCCCAGGCAAGCCTTCAGATGACGGCAACCCTGACCGACACCATGACTGCAACCTCGTGAGAGACCCTGATGCCCCAGCTAAGCCAGTCCCCGATTCCTAATTCACAGCAATCGTGGAGGGTCATAAACATTTGTTGTTCTAAGTAACCAAGTTTGGGGATAATTTATTACACAGCAAGGGATGACATTGCTACGACACAAGCAGAATCGGAAAATGCCCCCAATAATCCAGCAACCCTTTTACTTGCTTCCCTCGAAGGCACCTCTCCTCATGTACATTTGTGTCTTCTTTCTTCTAACATCTGTCTCATAGCTTGAGTTTTCTTCGTTCAACAGGAAACAAGGCAATCAATTATTCAGAGGAATGTGACTTACACAGCCTTAACTGCAGCTGTTTATAACGCTTCCACATCAGCAACCAGCAGCTGCTTGGGGCCACAAAAGCACTAGGCCAGTTATATGACCTTGTTCTACAAAAGACACTAATTTTGAGCAAAAGGAATGTGTAATCAAATGCTGAATTTACTCAGTGATGTTTCAGTTTTACAACCACACACTCAGAGCCAGCAAAACACACATACACACAAATGCGCCCTTAGTATTAGAATACTTACAGAAAGAAAAAAATTTCACTTTTCTGAGTTGCAAATAGCCTAGCTCCTAATTCTTGCTATAGCACTGCTGTTAAAAATATAACTTTTGATTAGACAAGGATTCTTAGTATAATTATCATAGCAAATAAAAATGATAATGATAGTTTAATATTTACTGAGCATTTATGAAGAACATTTGTTGAGCTGATACTCGGTCTCTCACTTTATCCATACAACAACTCTACAAGCTAGAGAGTTTCCTTATCCTCGTTTTATAACTAAGGAAACTGAAAGAGAGAGGTTAAGTAACTCGTCCAAGGTCACACAACCAGTAAGCAGTGGAGCCACGATCTGACCATTGCAGCGTGATCATGCTAGAACTTGTACCACGAACCACTAGGCAAAACCACATGCACCACAAACACACGTGTACCTGAGAACAGGGTGGCCCCAGTGCGCCCACATGGGCTTCCCTTTCCAGCCTGTGACGCTCCACTGTCCCACCCTCCCTGTGCCCCAGCAGCTATGGCACCCCCAACCCCCAAGCAACCACTGCTCGAGCGGGCCACCGTCTGCCAACACCGACAGCTGCTCCTTCTGCCGCGAGAAGCAAGAAGCAAGTTCTGACCATCAGCAGAGGAGGACTCTGTCTGGAACACGTCAGCGATTGAATCTTTCAAAACTTACACACCCAGCTAATTGGTTTGCTTTCTTCTCTTTTCTCTTTTTGAAATATTCATCTGTTTTATAGAGTTCCTCCTACCTGTCAAGTGCAAACGTTGAGACACCTTGAACTCTTAGCTACCCACTGTTTACCTGGGGAGACTTCAGAGCATAAAATTGCCTGGTTTAGACATTGGTTTTTCCCTACCCCATTTATGGGATAGAACGTACCCAACAAGTACCACGGCTAAAACGCGCTGACTGTAAAATACACTTACAGCAGCTCGCTCGTGCCCAGCGCCTCACGCACCGTCACGTAGTTTCCTCCTCATTTGTCCCTCTCGTGGGGATGAGATCGTCCTCTCCATTTCACAGACGAGGAAACACACACTTGCAGGAGTCGAGCAATTCGCCCAGAAACACACAGTTGGCAAGTAATGAAGCAGAGACTCAAGACCAAGATAACTCCTAATACGGCCATTACAGTGACAGGGAATATAATTCTTTCTCCAATAATTCAGAACCAGAGTCTCTAAAGACTTCAGTCTTTATTGTGAACATGAAATGCAGTTATGCCACAGAACTCTGGCATGGCCAGGTAAAACGGTGGACCAGGTGAGAAAATAACAAATTAGGCACGTATGACTCTATTTATGACAGTCATTTAACTGTCTCCGATGCTCGAGATGTCGTTCTAAAATGTGAAGAAAGGGGAGAAGCTCAAAGAACAGAAATTAAATATGGAATCACAGCGCCAACATCCGATTACACACACAAAACAGTTCCATTAGTGCCATTCACGACACCTGACAGCACAGAGACGGAGATGCCGCTGCTATAAGCTGACTTAACTCCGGACTCCCCTGCGCATCCACGAGACGTATTTCTTTCCTGGTCTTATTTAAAGTAGTTTAAAGAATAACCAATAAACTTCTTATCTTACCTAAAATGAGAAAAAACTGGAAGTAACCCAAATGTTAAATTGACCATACCAAATCCATCGTTCCAATCCAGAATGGCCAATTTAACGTGGTGTGTTAACTCAATCAAATACGAAAATCAGGTGTATAAAAACAGTTAACATGAAGCCTATATGGAAACAATAAAAACTGCTTTAGCGGTAGTACGTAGCGGGAGGGGGAGACTAAACCACGGCAGGCACAGATTATAAGTGCAGCATATAATTTTCCTGTGAGCAAATGCAGTACAGATGCATGCTTTTGCGTGAGTTGGGATTTTTTTTTTTGTTCACTTTACAGTTTTCTTTAATAAAATATACACAAAGCCATAGAAAAGAAAAGAAAATGGCTCTTAAATAAAAATAGGCCCAATCATACTCTTAATCAGAGAAATGGGAATGAAAGACATTCTGCCGGCACCATTTTTCACCCATGATACTGTCAGAGTCCCAAAGGCTGAATCCCACGCCTGCAAGCACAGCCGCACAGCAGCGAGCGCTCTCGCACGCCGCGGTGGGACATGCACGGCTCGCCACCCAGGCGGGGCAAACTGACACTCTGTCCAGCTCGCAGATGCCCTGCACTTTGGCCCAACAATTCTACTTCTGGAAAGATTTCCAACAAATATACCAATACAGGAACAAAATGACAAACACACAGTTTATTCACTGTGACGTTAGCAGTAACAGCAAAAGACTAGAAACGACCTCAAAGCCTGGCTGTTGGCGGACTGGTTAAACGAATTCTGGTACAGTTACACGATGAAATATCAGGAGTTCTGAAAAAGCAGATGGCAGCCCCATGCGCACCAACACGCAACGATCTCCGAGCTGTCAAGTGAGGAGTGTATGGAATGTGCTACCATTTTGCATTAAGGAAGAAAGGGAGGAGAAGACGGATAAGAAAAGGGAAAACAAAGTATGTGCACACGTGTCTCCCCGTGCACACGTGGAATATCTCTGGTATCGGTAACAACGACAGCATCCAGGGAACCAACTGGGTGCTGGGACAAGAGAGGGGACTTACATAGTTAACCTTTTGTATTTTGAACCATGTCAGTATGTATTATTTACTCAAAGAAATAAGCTCAATTAAAATACATACATTTTATTTCCTTTGGTCACTGCTTTTTAAAAAAAAAAAATAAAGCACAGGTGAAAGGTGTGCTCGGGCTTTAACAAGCCTCCACGCGCTTACCTCTCCGACCCTCCCCCGCCCTACCTTGCCAACGCCTGGACCTTCGTGCCGTGCCGCTCCTCCTGCTCGGCCACCTTCTTTTTCAAGGTGTCGACCTCTTGCCGGAGCGCGGCCGAGTGCTCCATCTCACCGTCCAGCAGGTTCCGCAGTGATCTGGGGAGAGGGGGCCCCGTCTGTTCAGATGCCGTCAACCCAGAGTCCACCGAGCCCAGAACACAGTTCCTAAGCTAAGTCGAGTCCTGACTCAAGGCTTGCATGAACCATAATTTAGGTCTATCTCATACTAACTGACTTAGGAGATAACAAAGTCTGGTCAAGGGCCTCAGACTAAGAATTAGAATGAGCCCCAGGGCGGTCATCTGCAGCCGGGCTCCGTGTCCCTGACGGCCTGAGAGCGGGCCAGCCACCTGACAACTTAAATCAGGGGAAAACATCAGGCTGAGCAAATCCCAGGCAAGTCCCTCTAAAGACACCCCACTCAAAGGTGGGGTTACACCGGGGCCATTTTGTCACAGCCACGCTGGATAAGAAAAGAAAAGGTGCCAGGAGAGGCCAAAAGAATAATCCGAGGCATAAAAATAGGATATCCACCCAGATTATCCGACAAATGTCTAGTCTCATTTCCGCCTCCACCCACAAAACAGGCTCTGAGCCTACGTTTCACTGCCATCTCCAGGGTAAACAAGCTTCACGGAGCATCTAGTCTGATACAGTGTAGTAGTGCTTTATATTCCCAAGTCTGTTAACCCTTCAAAACATGTTCATTTGTGCATCTATCATTCTTGACTTTATTAAATAAGGGAGAGGACAGCAGGTCTTCTAGAAACGATCACAAGTTACCACCTAAAAGAGAGCCAAACGTGGTTCTGCTGACCTTTTTTTAAAAAGAGAAAGGGTCTGGCTCTGTTGTCCAGGCTGGAGTGCGGTGGTATGATCATAGCTCACTGCAGCCTCGAACTCTTGGGCTCAATCCTCCTCCTTCAGCCTCCCGAGTAGCTGGGACCACAGGCACCCCCACACCTGGCTAATTTTTTTTTTTTTTGGTAGAGACAGGGTCTCGCTATGTTGCCCAGGCTGGTCTCAAACTCCTGGCCCCAAGCGATCCTCCCACCTTGGCCTCCCACAGTGCTGGGATTGCAAGTGTGAGCCACAGCACACAGCCTCTGCTGATCATGTACCTCACCCTACCTGAACGGCTATTTCTAGAAAACAATTACCAACAGTGGTACATCTACATACTAAATCTAGAGGACACTTGCCAGGTGACATTAGAATACCTGACCCCCACCATCACTCCCATTATTCACCGAAATCTCCAAGACCTGTGTTCCTCGAGAGCTTTGAGAAAATTCCCCTCTTAGCGCCTGGGGCCCCCTGACACAAACATGCTATGATTTTTTTTCTTTCTTTCTCTGGGAAAGAGAAAAAAATTAACAGACAGTGACTATTGTTCTTCACAAGGTAAGACAAAATCTATGGCTTCTTCCAAGATAATAGCCCCAGCTGGAGCAAGGGAAAAGAATTCTGCAATGGCTGCAAGCCTTTTGTTGAAAGCTTATTTTATTCGGAAAATGGTGCAGTCTAGAGATTTCTTTTAAAAGCAATCTCTTTTGTTTTAGAAATCACACTTGTTTGCTTTTGTATGTTTCCATAAAGGATGAGAGAGAAGCTTGTCAAGCGGGGCTCAAATATAAGGTTTAAAAGAGAATCATGATTGGATGTCACCATGGACCCTTAATTTCTGCCCTGAGTAGGAGAATAGAGGTGACGTGAACACACACACCCAGGAGCACACGCCCCGCCCCACTCCCCAGGGAGGCAGCCTAATCGTGCTGGCGGAGGCTTAGTGGACAGCTGTGCACAAGCCTCTACTGACCACCCACAGTCACGGCAAGGCTGTAGCAGCTGAGAAGCCCAACTGCACACAGTCGGGTGGCAGCAATGCCCCCAACGCCAGGTAGTATCTCGCATGGGTTTCTACAGCGAAGAAAAGGTTAATGAAACCCTCTCAAGTGTCTGCAAGCGGGCTTTTGGCCAAGTCAAAAGAATCCAAATATCATCTTGCCCTGAGTATCCCTGGTTTGGGCAACATTTAAGACAAGTATTCGAACACCTGGAACATGGTAGATAGGCTTTCAATTAAAGGTTACTCAAAAGACTGCTGTAAGGGAGGTGGGTGATAGCCAAGGGGTACGGGGTTTCTTTCTGAGGTGATGAAAATGTTCTAAAATTGACTGCAGTAGTGATTTCCCATATCTGTGAAGATATTAAAAACCACTGAATTGTACAATTTTTTTTTTTTTTTTGAGACAGAGTCTCACTCTCTTGCCCGGGCGTCAGCCTAGCTCACAGCAACCTCAAACTCCTGGGCTCAAGCGATCCTCCTGCCTCAGCCTCCCGAGTAGCTGGGACTACAGGCATGCGCCACCATGTCTGACTAATTTTTATATACATTTTTAGTTGTCCAGATCATTTTTTTCTATTTTTTAGTAGAGAAGGGTTCTCGCTCTTGCTCAGGCTGGTCTCGAACTCCTGACCTTGAGCGATCCACCCACCTCAGCCTCTCAGAGTGCTAGGATTACAGGCATGAGCCACCGGGGCTGGCCAGAATTGTACACTTTAAATGAGCAATATGTAAGGTATGTGAATTAAATCTTAATAAAGGCTGTTTTTTAAAAGAGTTAAAGACAGGCCTACCAAATTCTTGGTCTGTTCTAAGGTGGTGCCATTATTGGGAGGTTCTCATTCCTTGCCTACACACAGGAGATAAATATTAAATTCTGCAGCGGCACACCTCAGACAAAAAAAATAAATAGCCAGGCACAATTTTGCCAATAAAGCAAAATTCCCTTGATCTGTTACATTCTCTCTGTCCCAGAGGTAGAATGTCAAAGAAAGAGACTATTGCTCATGCCTGACAGTCACGATACCTGTTCTCTTCTTCCATCTCATCCTTCCTATTCATCATGGCCACGATGGCTTGTCGCAGTTCATCTAAGAGAAGAAAGCAAAGTCGAAGTTAATGGGTAGATCTTGCCTGTTACACCGTCCCCTCATCTCTCTGGATTATATGCTACTAAGGATGACTTGTCCAGTTAAATTCCCTCTTCCCCTTTAAAAATAATCTCTGTGCAGTTTAAGAGATCCGGTGGGCTCAGCCGATCACTCTTTCACCAGCCACAGAACAGAAGGGCAGGGCAGGATGAGGGTAAACGTGAAGGAGCTTCCTTGGTGAATACACTCGGACACCACAGAAAAAACAGGCTTGCAAGTTCAAGTGTTTTTCCAAGTCTCTGCTACAGGACAAAATGATTTATTCCCAGTTACAGCTGTCCATCAACCTAGACAGCAGATCGAGTGACACTTGGCTCCATAGTGGCATAGAAAGAATTATTCAAGTTTAATATGAAATCTGATTCTCCTACAGTGACTTCTATAGTTAGTATACAGGTGAGACTGTAAGGGGAATGGAGGGGTATCTCCAATACACAGTCCACAATTACTTCCAGGAACTACTCTTCTGGAAAGCTTCGACACAAAAAGCATTCATGGATAGAGAACATCTTTAAATTAAATCAGCACCCAAATTTCCTATCTGTATCAAATTTAATTGTGGTCACTGTCCACACTTTGAAGATATTGCCAAATCACTCAGTCAGATCTCAAGACAGAAACTTCTGAATTTCTCCTGCAGAGCCAGTGTTGTTTTATTTCCCTTAATAGACCCCGTGAACTCTATTTCCCTCTTAGGATTGGTCGCTAGGAAGCTCAAAGCCAAAATTACACATCTAGCAAGTGTACGTGGCTATGTGCCAACCACTGTTTGTCCTAATTTTCTCTCTGGCCGTCGTTTCCAACCTGTATTTCCACATTGTGCCAATTTTACTTAATACCTGCCTCGCTTTGTTGTTGTTTTTTATCTGCTTCAATGTGCTGCTTCAAATCCTTTTTTGGAAAGAGATATGGTTGGTTGGCTTCTTCCTTTCAGCTAAAATTTAAATCCTTATACCTGCCAAACTCTATTCAAAGCCCTTACTGGCATAATCTCATTTAACCCTTTATACACACTTAAGAGATGCATGTCACTATTCCCATTCTGTTGGGGTACAAATACATCACAAAAAAGGAAAGGAGGAGTAGACGGTGGAGGGGGAGAAATGGAGAAGCCGGCGGGTGCCTCTGTACCCTCACAGTCAGGATGCCCCGGGAGAAAGCAGCTGCCAAAGACACGAGGCAAGAAACGGGGTCATGAGCCCAAAGATGTCCTCAGACCGCAACATGCCAGGAAGGTGAGAACTACTGTTCTATTGCCATTCACGGTGAACGGTGATCAACTTCACAGAGAGGTTCCTGAATAGGCTGCACGACCACGCAGCTCATAAACATCAGAGCCAGGATGGCAACAGAGTCTCGGACTCAGAGTCGATGCTCCTGACGGCCGTGCTGCGACAATGCACGGCACCGACAGAGGCGATGGGGACCCGAGAGCAGACCAGCGTCACGTGTGTGCTCTGTCCACGTGTCGAAGCCCAGTGAACAATACAGGTCCAGGTGATAAGGCCACGGGACACTGAGAGGCTCGGGTCCTGGTACTGTGTTAAAAGACCAGAGCCATGTGTGATCCCTTCAACTTTTCTCAATGTTTGAAAATTTTCATGGTAGAAAACACGTTTCCAGAAAATATATTAATAAAGATGAGAAAGAGGGGGGAGGAGGCAGGGCTAAGAAGAAAAAAATGTTAAGCCAATGGCAGAGTTAATCAGCCCCAAGAGACAGAAAGGAGGCTGGGTGCCACCCTGCGACCCCTAGGAGAATGGAAACAGGGCACAGAACAGACAAAGCCGAACGCAGTGTGCCGCCTGCCCGGGCCCTGCTCTGCCTGGAGTTACGACGGCCCAGAGCTCACGCATTCACTCATTCATTCATTCAGTAAACATCTGTTGAGCACCTACTGGGTACAAAGACCTTCCCAAGGAGAGAGCCAGGCTCCCAACTCACCTAAGGAAGGAGCGCGCTTAAAGGAGGATTTATGAATGGAGAACAGTGACACACGTTCACATACGGCTACAATGAAACACTCCGTACGACTCTTCCTTCTTCACTCGACCATAACTAGGATCTCAGCTCAGAGCCTTGGACCAGCGTCTCGGCCTCCCTGAGCCCCTCTCTCAGGCACGAGGGGTGAACAGCACCCACCTTCCCCCCTCCCTGGGGTGCTGCGGAGATCAGGAGAGATTAGATGGGATGATGCTATGTCAAGGCCGTGCCTCTTACAGACTGCAGCAGGGAGCATTAACAATTTAGAAGAACTCATCCTAATGCTATTATTAGTGAGAATTTTAACAGAAAACACTGATAAATCTGTAGAAAAAGATGAGAAATTTATTCCTGTGACACCATAGCCCCCCCTCCCCAAAAAAAGACTTAATATATTATTGAAGACAGGCAGGGTAATACCTCTTTGGCTCTTATCGTCAAGAAACCCAGAGCATACATGAGTGGATTAATAAAATGTGGTATATGTATACCATGGAGTACTATTCAGCTTTAAGAAACAATAGTGATATAGCACCTCTTGTATACTCCTGGATAGAGCTGGAACGCATTCTACTAAGTGAGGTATCCCAAGAATGGAAAGACAAGCACCAC